GAAAAACTTGAATATCTGATAATATTATTTAATCATTTTTATTAACATTATTATTTGTTTATAAAAATAGTTTATTTTTGTATTATTTATATTACCAATATTAATTTGTTAAATTATATATTCTATTGATTGAAAGACAAATCTTATACCAAACAGGGTTTATCACGGAACAGGGAAAAAGGAACTTGTCCCAAAAATGCATTTTAAAATGAAAAGGTATATATTTTCTTTGTTTTTATGACAAAAATAAAGTAGTTTTAGTATAATTCATACTTATGTTTGTTTTTGCGATCTCCAAAACCTTTTCTTTACAGATGGGGATTTTTTGCCGCGGTCATTTTTAATGTTAAAACGACAGTTAACAACAAAACTATAAAATATTAAAATGTATAGTATATAAATAAATGGTTTATTAATATAATATTTATACTATACAAAATAAAACTATTAATTATAATTGATAATATTATAAAATATTAGAAATTATTTAATAACGATTAAATAATAATTTAACATATTAAAATAAAATTTGTTATTAACCAAACTTCCTCTTAACATAGTTAAGTGAAATTAACCAGAACAGAGCTGTCACCTTGCGATTACTTGTTAAATTTGATTTATTATTGCTTTTCATCACTTTCAAACATCAAATAGTGGTTAAATATACCAAATTAATATAAAATGTAATAGAATGGACAATAACAAAACATTGAATCACAATACTTGGTGTTGTTGATAAATTTAGGTTGTTTTATAAACGTGCAATACTTTGATAGAACAGAAGAATTATTATACGCGAGTAAATAATTAAAACGATTCTGTTCATCATTGATGCATTAACAGAGTGTTTGAAACAAAACAACTGCAATTATCTTCATTCTATTGTTTATTTTTTTATAATTTCATCAAAGCTATTATTGAATTATTTATTTACCATATTTATGAGTTATTTATTACAGAATTTTGATGAAATAAAAAAAATATAATTGTTGAATGAACAATTACCATCTTTATTTTTTGGCTTAATAATTTTTTAATAATGTTATTAAAACATTTTTAAAGATTATGTTTATTTTTAAGTTTAATTAAAATATGAAAAACTCCAACAAAAAAATAATAACAAAACATATAGCAAATATTGTGTTTGCAAATACGCGGGCCGAATAAAATTTATTTCCCTGTTGCAACCGTGGTTTTCCTTAGAAATATCCAAAAATGAAATGCGCGGGCCGAAAGTCCAATATTCAGATAGATTATTTAATGAGTGCCAAGAAATTAAAGGATTGATTGATGTAAATATTCTGGTTTTAATTTTTTTGTTTTTTATTTTTTTTCATAATAATTGATATGAAAATGGGTGCCAAACTAGGGCGGAAGTATCGTTGATAAATACCAAAAAATACCAAATACAAATACCGAGTAACTTTAACACCAAATATTAAAATATCAAAGTAACTTGATATTTGATAATTTCTTTGTCAATTTTGTTTTTAAAAAACCACAACATATATTTATTCACAGAAAAAAAAATGTAAAAACAAAAATAATGATTTGTGTGGCATTTATACATAAATAATACCAATAAATAGAATATTAACGAGCTTTTTATTTAAAATATAATATAAAAAATAAAACCATCTAAATTTTAAAATAAATTTATAATGAATAGACAAAATGTAGTTGAAAATAAAAATTTGGTTCGAGAAAGGGAAACTATAATAACAACACACACTGTTACATCAGAACTATTTCAAGAAAAGAGTTTATCATTTGGTATTATACCTCCAAGATAAATGTGGAAATCAGAAAAAATCGAATAAAAACCACCTCGAAAAATTTCAGCTGTGTGGCTATACTTCAGCGAATTTCCCCCCAAAAATGGGCAAACCCAAGATCTCGTTCAATGCAAATTATGTGGTGCTGTGCTCCCTTATATTTATCCGTTTCAAGATCCCAGAGTTTCTATAGCCAAGTATCTTGACCAAGAATCAAATGAAAGAATTCTATTTGAATTTGAGCAAAACACCAAAAGACAAAGTAGTATATAAATCGTGCCGATTTCGGACACCCTTCGGGAAGCCTCAATTATCACAATTTCGTCGCTTCGCTCCGTTATTTAGGTTTAATTATTTTTTAGTTATTATTTTAAAGTGATAATTTCAATTTTTGTAAATCTAAAATGACAACTACCATGGAATGTATTATTAAAGCTATTTAAAAATGTGTTCATATTACAGAGTTAAATAATTACGAAGTTGATTTATACTATAGAGTTGAATATAAAGAGTTATTTTAAATTAAAAACGACACTGTCAAATTAATCAAACCTAGAGTTAGTAAATATAGTGACGATTGGGTTAGATATAGTATCAAAGATAATAATCATAAAGAAATGACATTTAGTAATGAACCACTAAAAAAATATCATGATGATAATGATGATAATGATGATAATGATGATAAAGATATAGATGAATTTATAAGTCGATTCATATAAACTCTCATATTATATTAGATATTTTTAGTATTTCTCAGATGTTATCAGATGTTGTTATATCTCTTTAAATTATTTCAAATTAATTATTTTAAATTTTTATTTTTGTAAAATAATATCAAATGATTTCAAACCAAAAAAATAAGACTAATATATGCTGGGAACATATAAAAGTCTATTAAATAATTGGTTACGACTCGTTAGGGTCTGAGGATTCATTGAATCCGTAAGAATAAGTTGTCTTCATTTAGAATTGAATTTTTCTAGTAAAGTTTTCTCTTGTTTTAATATCAAATGTCTTACTAAATTCGAAACTAGGTTTTAATTCTTGTAAGTTAAATGTAAACTGTTTTTCAAAAGTCGGTACTGTCATATTTTTAGAACTTCCTAAAGTCCCGTTTTTTATTTTTGTTTTTTTCCTAAAAAAACAAAAAACAAAAAATCGAAAGTATTGACTTTATTTTGAAAAAATACCAATCCCGTTCAATTATTTTCGTACAAATTCGGGAAAATGTTGGAATATTAGCCAGCCTTTTCCAAAAAACCCGATCCCGTTATTTGATTTGACCATAACTCGATACTTCGCAACACAAACTCAGCATTGTTGACCTAAAAGCACAACAATTAACGTTTAAGTGAATTGGGATGGTGTTGTTCGTGTCAAGTTTTAACTGAATATTACTCTGTTTAAAAATTATTTTCAATTAAAAACAAACATGTGGTTATCTTCTCCGAATAAAAAACAATGAAATAAAGAGTTCCAAAAACACCAAAAAATAAATTACAGCAAATGTTTGATAATTTTGACAGGCATAAGTCAAATTGTCAAAGTGCAACACTAGAAAAATAATACAAAATAACAATATTGTTTTGTTATTGGATATTTTAAAAAAGATGTTTTCACTGAAATGCTCAAAAAGAATCTCGACTTTTTAAAACCCAACAAAGATAAGTTATCAAATCATTTTGATATTTATATTGTTCTTGTGACAACACTACTAAGCATACTACTCTTCGAACTAAGCTTTTGTTTTGTGAATATTTCATTAATTATTAAAATGTTTGATAATGAAAAAGATTGACATTAAAATTTATTTGCTTTTGTACTAAAATGCACTTTTGGGATCATTTGTGTGTTTTTCTGAAACAAAAATCCTGTTATTTCAAATTTTATATGGAATTTTTTAATGCTTAAAAATTCTTCAAGTAAAAAAATATATTTTGAAGACTGTTTTTCTCTTTTTTACTTGGAAAAAATAAGCGAATTTATTACAAAAAACGATTCCCAAAAATAATAAACAAAATAAACGCAAAAAATCGGGACACCACAGTACAGACTTTTGAAAAACAGTTTAAAAGATTATCCCGCGTAGAGTTTCTTATATAATTCAATTGGATTTTCGTTATTTTCCAATAAATTGTTTGGAATACCTTTCATTCTCATATGTAAAGCATTTTCTTGTTTATCGTTTGTTAATACATCTATATAAGCTTTCTTAACTAAGAAGTAAGATTCTTTTGAATATAAGTCCCCAGATAATTCATCAAAATCTGGATGAAATTGTTCTAATTCACCTCCTCTTAATGTTTTACCATATATTTCTTTATATTTTTGTTCTAATAGTTCTATCTTATTTTTGTCTATATGCACTGAATCAGTATTTTGATAATATATATCTATATTTAAATCTTCTGCTTAACACATTACTTCATTCATTATTCTCTTACTCATACTTAATATTTGTACACCAATGAGATTTGTAAGTCCTCAAATGGTTTATTTGTTTCAAAACATCTAATATTATCTGATATGTAATACATAGATTTAACTAACGTAAAGTTCTTTTTAAGATATCTATCTGAATCACATTTTCCTTTATTATTAATATATTTGTAAACCAAGTCATTTTTAATTGGTTTTTGAATCGTTTTTCCATATGATGAATTCATCAATAATTTATAATTGTTTTGTAATGGATTACCTTCTTTTTAAAGTTGAGATCTTAAATTGTATATCTTTTCAATCTCGTTACTAAACACATTAGATTTACATCCAGTCCAATAATATCCTCTAATAATATTAAACTCTATTTGTTGAAATTTAATCATATCTTCAATCATAATATTATCTACTCTCATTGTACAACATTCATTAACATTATTATCACCTTTATTATCTTTCTTAGTTATAATTGGCAAGTGTAAATGTTTATGTATTTTAGTTATTTCTTTATCTACAATAAATGCTGATATATAACGTTCATTTGTTGGTTCTAATTGTTGTTCTAACATTAAGTGGTTTAATATAGTTTTATTACATGATTCTTGTGGGATTAATATAGGTTTTCCAGTGGCCAGTTTTAATATATGCATAGCAATAGGATATAATGAACATGCGTCATAATCATATAAATCTTTAGTAACATGTTGTTTTGAATTATCTCTACACATATTTCTACCTCCATATACTGCACCCTGTATAAATTCTCTAACTTTCCCAGAAGATTGCATTAAGTTTGGAATTTGTGTGTAAACATGTAATTTGAAATAGTGATTAGCTAAAGCAGATATACTAATAAAGTTGTCAACATCTATATTTAAACTTTTCAAATTATTTTTTCGGAATTTAATTTGACCTTCTTTTAATATTCTAACGTCTTGACAAAAGTAGAATTTACAATATAATCTCATATCGAACTTGTTGTTATTTACCAAACAATTATTGTTTTTATATATATTCTCTTTAAATAAATTATATTGTTTTTCATTCCATTTTTGAGATTCATATTCACCAGCTTCTGAAATTATACCAATATTATTTTGAATTCTATCTGCGTTGTAGTAATTATAAGGGTATAACTTTTTGAATATCTTTTAAATCAAACATTTTAAGAAAATCTGATAACTTATATGAAATTATTGAATAACTATCTTTCAAAACAATTCTTTTTTTCGTGATAATTTAGTTTCATTTTCATAGTTTTTCCATCTTTCTTAATACATGTCTCAATTCCATATTTTGCTAAGAAACACGAATCATATTTCAAATTATGAAAGTAAACAACGGAATTGTTATCTAAATCAGATAAGAAGTCTTCTACACACTTACCACCATATTTACATGAAATTTGAGATGAATTTCGTCTAGAATAAGCAACACAATATGCTTTATGAATTCCTTGTGTACTAGCTTCGAAATCTGCATTATAGTAAATATAGTTTTTGGATTTAGATTTTTTATTGATTTTTTTCCATTGTTATTGGTTTAACTTCAAAAACTAGATTATCCAATGATTCGATTGATTGTTTACATAATCAGATAAATCAGATGGTAAATGAAGAACATCACTAAGTGAATATGGTTTAAAGCCATTGTTATCTCTAATATATAAAATAAGTTCAGATAATTTTATATTGGATTTAGCTCCTGGATTTGTTAAATATGAATTTCCTTTCTTTCTTTGTTTATTAAACAAAGATTCAATTGGTTTGTTGTGATCTAATGCCCATTTATTCATTTCAACTCTATTCTTAAGATAAAATGGAGTAATAGTAATATTTTTATCTAAGAAATAATGATCACCCTTCATATTTGAATCTCTGAATAAATACATACTAATTTCAGTAGCTTCTTCATTATCTGATCCTATATATATCATTATTGTATTAGCATGATCTTTGCGCTTTAATTCTTCATTTTTTATTTGAATTCTAATATTACATGATTTTGAAACTTTATCTATCAATTTAATTTTCTGATATCTTGAATAACAATGAACACAATATAAATCAACAACTTTCTCATTTATTGTAGCTTGTTGTAACGCATATATTAAACAATTATTATTTAATTCGTGTCTAATTTTGTTTTCAACACTAAGAGAATCAAATATTTGTGCTATTTTTAAATATTTAGAGAAACATTTATATTCTTCTGTATAATAATAAGCAAAGAATGCAGCACCATTATTTCGATATTCATTGATTTCTTTTTTATAATCATATTCTTCAGTTATTAATTCTATAATAATTAAAGGTTCTGGAACTTCATGTTGAACATAAAATGCAGAATCTGAACTGTTTTCAATTTCAGATTGATTATATAAACCAAGAGTTTCGTTTGATATTGATTTAAGAAATTCATCTATATTTTCTTTAGAATTTAACATATATGTTTTCCAAGTGGTATCACTAAATCTATATTTATAAACTAAATTTGCTGTTGAATATAGTTTTTCAATTAATTGATTAAAGAACTGTCTAATCATACCAATTACTTAATTTTTTTTTCAAATCAACAATTAAGATCAGCATGAATTGTATTATTATCTAAGTCATGTGTTACACCTTCTGTTTTATATTCATTATCATTTATTGATCGTTTGTATGGTTCGTATTCATTATAAATTTGATCTCTGTTTTCATCTTCATCTATTTGTTCAATATTATTGTTTAAACTCCATTCTAAATTATTTTTTGATATTATCATAATTATTAATCATGTATTCGTTTTCTCTTTCATTCTTAAGTTGTTCATTAACATAATTATTATATTCTTGAGATATTGCTTCATCATCTATTTCAGTATTATGTTTTAAACTCATTCTAAATTCTTTTTATTAAGTTCTTTTTCATCATCTAAATCTTTAATTAATGTTGCTTTTTTATTAATTAAACCAAAAGTTTGTTTATCAGTTTTATTTAATTTATCAAACACAATTCTTAAAAATGGTTGCGCTAAAGGCGCCGCTACGTGTTGTTCTAATTTTTCTTTATAATCAAGATAAACATTTCTGGATTCAATATTCATTTTCAATAATTCTTTTCTACATTGTCTATTTAAAATTTTAGTAGATGCTGCTTTAATAATTCCATCTTTAATTCTAAAACAATCCAAAATTTCTTCTTCGGAATAAGTTTTAATAAATTTGTGAAAATTCTTTTTCAAGTATTCTTGTGTAGTGCTCATTTAAGATAAGAAAAAATAAAATTATCACTTTGAAATAATAAATAAAAAAAATAATTAAACCTAAATAACGGAGCGAAGCGACGAAATTGTGAAGATTGAGTGTTCCCGAAGGGTGCATGAAATCGGCACGATTTATATACTACTACAAATAGAAAAATCATTTTTAGATTACCCAAGTTTTGGGACTACTAACAACGAGAAAAAGAAAAAACAAAATCGAATATTATTTGAACATTTAGCTGGAAGTCATATCGAATTATACAATGATGTAATTGAGGCGACTCCCAAAAGACTGAAAAAAGAAAGAAAAGATGTAAAGAAAATAGAAAATAAATGATTATAGTGATGATGATAAAGAGTGTATTTTAATGAAGTGGATTTTGCAAAATGGTATCAATATTAATATATTTAAAAAACAAGAGACATTTGATATGTTTAAAGTTGTGACAAATGGCACATTTAAGCCAAAGTACACCAGTGAGTGCAGAGTTTTTATACATAAACTTTTTCAACAAGAAATGGACGAACATATTTTAGTTATCAAAAACTCGTTGTCTAAACACTTTTGTATAGATGGGTGGACATGTGAGACAACAGATAAGCATTTCATTGGGATTACTTGTCAGGTACTTTCTGCTCGAAAAGAACCGTTTTGTTTTTTACTCGGTGTTCTTGAATTAGAATGTGGGTCATCAGGAATAAAAATTAAAAAACTATTTTGCACTTATTTAACAACTTGGGGAATAACATACAATCCAAAGACTGATTACACGGTGACAGACAACGGTAAGGATATGTGTGCGGCATTTTCAACTTTAAATGGAGCAAAATTAATTAACGAAGAATCAAAAGTTGACACCCATATACCTTGCTCTGCTCACACTGTACAACTTATAGTAAAAAATGCAACAACTAATATAGATGTATTCAAGATACTTTTAGTAGATTTGGATATTGTTGTAAAAGAGACCAATTCCAATTGGGCAACAATGTGTGGAATTATAGATGAGATTAACAAAACTATTGGTGGTAGTGATATAAAAATAAAAAAAACAAAATGTGTTGAGAGAGGAAATACACGTTTTAATACACTGTGTGATACAATAATAAGTGTTGTAAATAAAAAAGCTGCAATTATAAGACTCGTTGAATATGAATTTATGAAGGGATTGGATATAAATGAATGGGAAATGATTGGAACACTTTTACCTTTTTTAACCGAAGTTAAAAAATTTACACTTAGAGTGGGTGTGAAAAGTCGGTTTCAATTAATCATGTAAAACCAAGTGTTGTAGAATTGTTCAGAAAATTTAACACTTATTTGAATAGTAATGGTATTAACGTATTTTTAGAAAAAAATGGAGATAGTTACGATTTACCAAATTTTGAAGGAAATATTCTTTTATTTGGACACGAAAACGTCCGTTATAAATTGTTCAATAATGTTAGAAGAATATTTGTCACAAATGAAAGCGGTCAATACATCCCAATATGTGATTTCGGATTTATAACGGCATGGTTTTTTTGCGGATACAGAAGCTCTTATTAGATTTGGATACGTGTTTAAAAGTATTCCTCATGTTATTTTAATGACATTATCACCACAGTACAGATTAGATAGAATAGTGAATAGAAAAATGAAAGATGAAATGATTAAAATAATTTACGAAGAAATGGACAAATTGACAATGAAATACCAAGGACAAAACGTTGCAAAATTTGACATAGCAATGAGTCAAACGCTTGTTGTTTATGTTGAAGACTCCAAAAAACGTGAAAATGAAAACACACGATTGAACACCACAACAGCACAAGAGCTCGATGCATTTTTTCGGAATTTTATTTTCTTGGTGGTAAAATGATTGATACTTTGAGTTATTGGAATAAGATAGGGGAAATGTTGCCAATAAGATATCCTGCCCTCCTCGAACTTGCAAAAAAATATATATATCCGTACCAACAACCGAACTATCTGATGAAAGGTCGTTTTCTGCAGCCAAATTTATTATTAACCAATACTCAAACTCTAAACACAGTGACATTATAAACGAAGAGTGTGTATTCGGCTATAGTAGCAATCAGAAACAATTGAAAGAACACAAACAAAATGGTTTTGACTTTTATTTGTTCATTTCTTATTTAATAACATATTACAATAATGTTTTTATTAAAAATTATGTTACATAAACAAAAAATAACATATTTTTTTTATAATATAATTATATTACAATTTAAATTGTTTAATTTCAAATCATAATTATAATATATTATTTAATTATTATTAAATTTACTTTGATTAAATTAATTCATAATTTACACTAAAATGTAAAATTTATATTTTTTGCCTTATGGAATTTTTGGGGCAGACCTTTCCCACCCTCACCCCTTTTACCAAAATAAAATATTTGCCGCGAGTGTTTTTTGAAGGAAGTCCACTTTTCAGCCACTGTTTGTGCGTCCCCATGTCACCCACTTTCCTTGTCCGTACTGTGTGGACGCGGATGTGGTTCCCCCCTGCTTGCTGGGGGGTCAGGGGGATCCGCGCCAAGGGAGGACTTGGAAAGTGGGTGAAACGGTGCACAAACAGACTGTTTGAGTGCGGCCTTCAGAGCCTTCTTTTCAATGCTCGGTCTCACTTGGTTTCCACTAACTCGAGGTGCATTTTCGGCATTTCTTGAATTCGGGAACCAGACCTAATATTATCCAAAACGCCCATTTACTATAATTATAATTAAAAAATTATAAAATATAGTAAATAAATTCTATATTTAGACGGGGTGAGGGTGGGAAAAGCCTGCCCCGGAATTTTTATATATAAGAAAATAAAGAAATGATTAAGTGTCTACATTAAAAATTTAAAAAATAAATAATTTTAAATAGTATAATATTTAATATTTTTTAGTTTAAAACATAATTTTTTTGTTTTATAAAATAAATTTACAAAAAAATGTGTTGATTATTTTGAAATAAACGACTTATAAAATACCTTGAAAATACTTCCACCCTATGCCAAACTCAATTCAATTTTTAAAATAATTCTGGCACCCAATAAGTTTTTGGCACTTCGTAAATACTCGATCTGTAAATGTATATTTTAAAATTGGTTCAGTTATCTATTTCTGTGTTTCCATTTTATGATATTGAATAAAACATAACAAAAAAATATAAATAAAGTTTACAGGACTTGTTTATTGTTATTAATAAAAAATAAATTAATTTTAATAGAAAATTTTAAACTTTTGACAAAAAATTGTGTAATATTTGTATAAGAAGTTATCAAAAAATGCTTAAAGTGCATTATTAAATATGGACAAATCAAATTTAATAATTTTGAATAATTAAAAAAATACACAACAATGACAAAACATCAAACGATTAAAATTAATTGTTAATGGGTTTAGACCATGGTGTAGTTAACAGAAATACCACAATAGTGACTGTCCATAATATAAATACTGTTTCTAGAAGAGTCAACATGATAGACATAATAATCATTTGTTTTTATATTTTTTCAAAGTTTCAGTCTTTGGAGTTTTAAGTTGAATAAGAGCAAAAATCAAAAGAACAGGTGGGAACAATACAGAAACAATTATAAATATTTGGAATCTATTTGAAGACTTTTCTTCTGTTTTATTTGTTTGTTATGTGAAGAGACACTGGTTAGCATGGGCTTTTGATTAGCACTTACAGATTCTTCACATGA